CGAACCTTTTTCGGCTTAGCCAGATCAAGAGCTGTCAACGAGACCCTCATAGCGAAGTTTAGAAGTTCAACTTCAGAGGAAGATCGGATGATCATCCCAAAGAGCCTTCGCGAAGGAATAAAATAGACATCCTTCGGAACATCCCACTTCACCCTCACCCTCTTATCTGGATTCATCACCTGCGCACAGATCGTCATGCAGATCTTCAGGCAGGTTGTCAGGCAGATCTTCAGGCTGATCTCCAGAAAAGGATTCAGCATCTGCAAAAATATATATCTACACCAGAAGATGGTAGCGGGATTAACTGCACACAAACACTCCTCGGCGCTGAGAACCTACACTTTCACGAAGGTTAAAATGTTTCTTAAGAATCCAGGAGGGACTCATGTCCATATACAGATCATTCACCTACAGGCAGATCTTCAGGCAGTCACGTCGTCGCGGTTCAGAGCTAACGACTTGATAGATAATACCGGAGAATTTCAGCGCAGCCTTGGTAAGGCTATGAAGTTCCACAGTCATCATATCCCTGACGTCCAAGCCAGGGATTTCCCACTACTTCACATGGAACCCTTCATGAAGGCTCCAGAGATTGATGTGAACTGCAAGATCAACGACTCCCGTTGTAGATCTTACACTGAAGTTGCAAGTATCAACTCTACAAACACCTTTGTGTATTCAACACAAAGGGGGTATTTTACAACGCTTCATCGAGACCGATAAATACAGTCTACAAGTAACAGCGTTAAGCAAGTATGGAATTTCAGCTGATCATCTGTATAAGATGATGACTGCATTATCTTCAGGAATGAAGGAACAGTCACAGCAGCCAGGGAGACAGTCTACCTACATCGGTATTACTCGGCGAAATCTTTCGCGCGTTACCATTCAGCCCTCTATACACGTGGTCACTCGTGTAACTTCGGGAGGTTACGGACAAGGCCGAGTGTTGATGAAGAAATCAACGACTGCACAAGATTCTACAAGGATCTTTTTCCTGCAACACCGGTGACGTCACATCGTGGGAATCTGAAAGGAATCAAAATGCTGCATTTTGATTGGTCCATGAGAGACAACGCCCTGCGCAGAAGTCGGACATCGCTCACATGTCAGGAAGTTGTCTACAGATTGTAAACAACATTTCAACATTGGAGGAGGGCTCCATTAACATTCCGTTTACAGTCCAGTTAGCAGGGTACAGCGTGATTTGACTGTATTCACGGGATTTAGAGACCTTCCCTGTCAGCAGATTGAAGACTGTTTATCCGGCTAATTGCAGCCACATGTTGACGAATTTTCTACGCGGCAGCCAGTCTACTATATATAGACTTCACAATGATGGCAGTCCCAGATCCGGAGATTGCTTCCTTTACGGACATGGCAAGGATTCCACTGTCTACTTTCTTACAACATAGAACATGAGCAGATTCTGGAAAGATGTTTCATCTCACCACAGAATGACAAGGTCGCCTCTGAGGATCGTTGTGTCTAGATACAAGCCATCGTATCTCAAGCACTACTCTCTCCGTTACCACTACGAAGTTGGCAGAGCCTACTCAGTCCTCTCACGTCAGCACAAGACATGACTCACAGAGGAAGACTACAATTGCGCCCACTTTAGATGCGTGAACGCCTGTTTCAATAGTCTGGATTCTTTCGGACTACCGGACGGATTGAAACCATAATTTCTATGGTGGACTCGGAAGTCGAATATTTGCGGAGGAATCTACTTATCAGAGCGGAGTGCAACACTCATCTCTACGTACATGTATCACTTCAAGGCTGGGGAGCTCACCTCGACAACGAAGTGGCAGCAGGGGAAATGGTCGAGTCAGGAGCAGTCTGCATATCAACATGCTTGAGATGAAAGCAGTAGGACCTTACTACACTGGTCCAGCATACTAAGGAATGCACAACTGATGATCCACACGGACACAGTGGCGTTCTACATCAACAAACAAGGATCAACAAGGTCAAGATATCTACTAGACCTCAGCTTTCATCTGTTCAGCATAATAGATGACTTGAACATCTACATAAGAGCATACCACATTCTTGGAGCCAAGAATGTGATAGCAGACGCCCTATCTCGTCCAACACAACCATCCCCGACGGAATGGATGCTACATCCAGAAGCCTTTAGATACATCATACAGACGATAGATTTCCGCTAATAGACCTGTTTGCAACAAAATTCAACAAACAGCTACCAACATTCGTCTCTCCGATTCTCGATCCACAAGCATGGGCAACAGATGCTCTAAGCATCTGAGGGGTAGGACTAAACGCTTAGGCGTTTCCACCTCCAGCACTAATACCACAGGTGTTGCAGAAAATCAAGCAGACAAGGAAGCTGCCACTGATTTGGTCGGGCCTTTCTGGCCAGCAAGAATGTGGTTTCCTATTCTCACACAGGAATTTGGAAGTCCAAAACTGCAACTCCCAGAGTGGCAGAACCTGCTGATATATCCGCACACCAAGCAAGCACACGGGAACCCCACAGTATGCCAACTACACGCATGGAGCGTATCAAGATTTGCTTGACAAAAGAGAATACTCTGCCAGAGTAGCGAAAGCAGTTACACTAGCTCTATGCAGATTTACCTGCAACTTGTACGACGACAAGTGGCAGAGTTTGAGAAACACGCACTGAGGAAGGGCTTCACAGCAATGAAGGCAACACATCCACAAACAAGGCGGTTAAAAGGTTCAACACTCTCTACATACCTAGCAGCCCTCAGCACAATTATCACCATGAAGACTGGTGTTAAGTTGACTAAGTATCAGAGATACTGGCCCTACTACGCTCCTTCAAGTTGGAAAACCAACAACAGAAGTTAGAGCGCCTGCTTGGGATCTCAACGCAGTGTGGCAGCATCTCACCAGTGACGCTTACGAACCACTAGAAAGGACATCCTACGAGTTTCTGACACAGAAAACTCTCTTCCTGATCGCATTCGCAACAGCAGCACGGATGTCAGAAATACATGCTCTGGACTTTGAACATATACGCTTTTGATGCACATCACAACATCGTTACTCTGGGATTGAGATGGGACTAAGAATCAACTGCCAGGTCAACCCGACAGACAATTCCACGTCCCAGCATTATCATCAATCCTTGGGCGACAGGATATCCAGGACCTATACTTATGCCCAGTCAGAGCACTGAAAATCTAATTACAAAGATCTAGAAACAGGAGACGAAAAATTCAAATGCCTTTTCATCCCTATATCGGCGGAGACACCCACAGAGATCTCACGCACTACGATATCAATCTGGATGAGAGCAATCATCCTAAGAGCCTACAAGGCAGCAGGACTTGAGCCTCCACGAGCCTCCAATCCTCATGAAGTTAGAGCGTTGGCATCTACGCTCGCCTTACATGGAAACTGCTCAATATCTACTATAATGGAAGGATGCTTTTGGAAATCGGAGTCGATGTTTATGAACCACTACCTCAGAGATATCGCTACCGAGGACGTCTCCGGCATCCACCAGTTTGGGCCTCTTGTTGTAGCACAACAACTGACAGTTCCGCTAAGATGCTGAGATGGATCTCACCCTTTTAGCATATGTCTTGCAAGCTCATTCTCTGAAGAGAGAGAGCCTAGAGTCCATGTACACATCTAGAACAGACTAGTATGAGTATAGACCCTGTACTTGTAAGGATTACTCGTACAAGTAAGGGTAGCCTCTCCACTTGATACGACCATCAAGAGTTGGAGTCGCCTAAATCCACACATATGTCAACAGAAGACAGATCTGATAAGTTGTGGTCCCCCCAAATTCATCAGAGAAGGCTGGATATGGATCAGCAGCAGCAGCAGTGCCATCAGAAGTTCCCATGAGGGGTAAATAGGACGTAAATTCATCAGTAGGAATCCAGAAGTGGCCTGACCCACCACCAACTCTGTTCTATTCTACAAGCAATAAGCATGAGTCAGGATAAGGAAAAATATGTAATTTTCTGAATAAAATTGATATTTTATACTTATCCTGACTCATGAGGTGAGCCCTCCCACCCTCCCCTCAAGGCACTCTGGATTTCCCGGTAAATCCGTGTGTCGGGCTATAAAATACGGAGAGAGTGGGGAGCATGGATGACAGGTGGCGCTGTTTCCCGCCAAAACCTTGGTAAGGGAGATGACTCCTGGTAAGGGATTTTACGTCCGCTTTTTTGAAGGGAGCTTCAAAAGGGGGATTCAAGTGTTCCACTAGCATTCGGAAGGAAAGGGAGACAATAAGCAATAAGCATGAGTCAGGATAAGTATAAAATATCAATTTTATTCAGAAAACTACATTTTCATATGAGAAATAAGGCAGTATAGTTTCAATGAGAAGATGGATAGGAAACCGTGTTCAGAGACCTGACTCCTGACAAAAAGTTTATGGCTATGGTCCAACTTTACACCGAAGCACATTTTAGCTGTGGTGTCTGTTCAGGCAAAGGACTCCTGAAATATGCCTTATTTTCGCTCAACAGTGAATGAAGTCTTATAGTCTTTATTCATGTGAATGTAGGCCATCGGCCCATGGTACAACGTTATACATTGGCAGCCTTCAAGCTGCAGCGACGACGGATTGCTAGCATAGAAGATGAACATGGCAAGATTTCTTAAAACAAGAGGAGTAGCATTACTCATCAGTCGATTAAATTTACACAAGGTTGGAGTACCTGACAGTATCAGATGGTAAAATGACCACCTGTCATTTTGTCCACTAAAAGGCAGTGTTGGTTCAATGGTTGTGTGCTGCCCTTGCAGCTGAGAATGAAGGAGCCGTAATCAGGGAGACGCCCAAACTTGCTGTGCATACCAGAAATGATATTGAGTTAGAATCCCAGAGTGACTGTAGTTAAATTATCAGGGTTGTCAACACCTTACGTATGGCTTTCCTCCTACTTAAATGATAAAGCTTTCAAGTCGTGATGTAATTGTACTGTTCAAAACAGTTTTACTCACTCACTGAACTCCTGTTACCTTCACTATTCTTCCAGGCATGCCAAGCGCAGCACAGTGTTACCTGAAGATGTGAAGCTGCTTGTGAGGAAAAGTCCAAAATTGGTATGTTATTATCGAAAACGACCCTTGAAGATCTGGGTCAGAATGGGTCTTCAGCACGCCATGCTTGTCGTAAGAAGCGATTAACTGGATCATTTCCTCAGGCTCACTGCCTTGGTTGACACGTGGTGTCATATCCCAAGATCAGTGCTCATGATGTCAATCATTGGATTGTCTGGTCCAGACATGATTATTTACTAGACTGCCATTACATAGTTAGAATATTGTTGAGTGCGGTGTTAAGCAACAAACAAAACTACTATTGTAAAAGTTGTTGTCATACCCCATAGGGGGCGGTGGGGTAGCCTAGTGGCTAAAGCGTTGGCTCGTCACGCCGAAGGCCCGGGTTCGATTCCCCACATGGGCACAATGTGTTAAGCCCATTTCTGGTGTCCCCCGCCGTGATATTGCTGGAATATTGCTAAAAGCGGCGTAAAACTAAACTCAGTCAGTCAGTCAGTCAGTCATACCCCATAAATGCAAACCTAAAGCTGAACCCATTTCACACATTTTGTTAATATTCCATCACCAGCAAAACTGACTGCTTTGTATTAATGTGTAGTCCTTGACAGTTAAGTAGGAGGCATTTCCAGTTAACAAGGTCTTCCCCCATGAGTGTGCCAGCCCTAAGCAGTCTGTAAAAACTGCTACAGTTGTTGCTGTGATCATTCAGTGTCAGAAAATTTAAAATAGAAATGCATGATTCCAAATACCCTTAATTCACAATTATGTTCAAGAAACCATGTATTACTAATAAGTATTACATTGCAGTAGGCATCAATTCTGGCTGATGTCATTCCATATCAGGCGAACACCAAGCCGATCAAATATTGATCATTGTTGCTTTTCTGTTTGCACCGAAATCAGTCCAAAACAATCAGTAGCATGTTTAATAAACAAGATAACAAGCTTTACACAAAACATAATTCATGGAAGACCAAAGGGTGGTTTTTGGCTCTCAGATAAGACAAATTGTGTTGGGGCTGGTTCATACCTCTCAGTTACCCTACAAATGTTAGGGTGATGGATAAGACATATGGTTGTGTAGGCTGGTTAATACCTCTCTGTTTGCCAAGAAGTGTTAGCCAGTGAAGATCCGGGTTAGAATTGATCTTCAGTAGCCCATGCTTGTTGTAAGAGGCAACTAATGGGATCAGGTGGTCAGACTCGCTGGCTGGGTTGACACATGTCATCATATCCCAATTGTGTAGATTGATGTTCACGCTGCCTGGATTGTCTGGTCCATTTATTTACAGTCCGCCGCCATATAGCTGGAATATTGCTGAGTGTGGCGTAAAACTATACTCACTCACTCACCAACAAGTGTTAAGGTGTCAGGTGTGTGTTGTCCCCAGCTGGAACACATCAACTCGCTCCACAGACAGCTCACAGCCAACAAGGAGGAGCCCAGCAGGAAGAGGGGAGCCAGGCCGAACAAGAAGAAGTCAGTGGCTGCAGCAGAAGCCAACTATGAGACAGATGAGAACTCCAATATGTAAGATTTTAAAAATGCCGATATTTAGAACTCATTGGTGTTGTCATTTCAGGAGGACTGATGAGAACACAAAAAAAGAACTGACGAGGATGCCAATGTGCATGACTAATGAGAACATGCATGGATGAGAATGTCAGTAACTGGGACTGACTTTGCCAGTGTATAGGATTTACAGGAAACAAACCAATAAGCATTGTTTTTGATACGCATTTCGACTAAAATACTCAACAAGTGGTTGGGCCAAAACAAATTTTGTTTTATCGTTTAGATTGTTATGAGCATAAGGGCTACAGATAAGGGGTGTACAGGCGTAATGTACGCCTCAAAATCAATTAAGTACGACATAATATAAGATTTCAAGCGTATCGTGTACGTACATAAATGCCTTCGTACATCTAGCATTTAATTTCCGTGCGTATTGTGCAAATGGAAATCTTATTTCGGATAAATAATTTTGCGAAAGACGATTTGACACAAGGAAACCCCGAAAGTAGGAATCCCTTGCGTTGCCATGCAACGATATGCGTCACTATGTTTCGATTGGCTACACACTACACTGTTCCTATTTATATCCAGTCGGACCTGACATTTCGCGCATGACACAGTTACTCAGTTATTTCTCACGCGTCTTCAAATACAAATACATGGTTGGAAATAGTGATCGATGAATCGTCCAGACAAACCACATCAACTCGCTCACACAAAAACATGTCAGTACTCCTTCAAAATTCTCAGTACACCTCCACTTGCAATATGATGTGTAAGTACACTCACACCCCCAAAAGTTATCTGGAGACCTGAGCATGAACCTTATAAATTTACCGGTATGTATTTACCAAAACCATGGATAATATGCTGCTGTTCGTCAAAATATTGAGATTTATGCTTACCATGACTCCTTTACATTGAAACAAGTTACAATCATTAACTATAGCTTTGCACAAATACGGGCTGTACACATAACATATCTTAAACCCTATCTATCCTCCTCAGACAGTGTGTTTTCTATTGACTCCTAGTTTCAACTGAGAGACAGGAGAACTGCATCCAAAACCTTGAGCACAACAACACAAATGTACAGGGCAGTGTGGCAATATAGGGGTCTGATGAGAATACTTTTGTGTTGGATTGATAACCCATCACTGTTCACTGCTTAAAGAGACATAGAGCAATCCCATTGCACATCTAAAATTGGCAAGTTATGTGTGAAACTGTGTAATCACTGTGAAACAGTTCATGATGTATTTATCTAATTAAGCTATTGTTGTCCTCTAGGACACGTTTTCAGATCAGATAAGGTGTCTGTTTTCTTTCTTTTTATACTCTGTACTTTATCGATTTATATTGGCTGTACATTTGCCTGTTAGTAAAACTGCCATGTAAATATGAAGTGACGGCTTTTGTTTCCTGTGCTGTGGTGAGAACATTCCAGTAGTCCATGTAACCAATATTTGCATAAAAGGTGTGCAGTACATCACACCTAGATGCAGTCTTGTCAATCAAAAGTGACGCATGCATCAATTTGAATCAATGAGAAGGCCAGAATCGCTTTGTATATTTCTCAAGTCTTAATCTCTCGTGCCACGAATGACAGCAAGGGCGACAGCAATGCTACGGTATCAACACACCAAGAACCACCATCCATGAGCTCTACCACTCTATCTCGTCTACTTTTCTTGACTGACTGACTGAGTTTTGGTTTTACGCCGCTTTTAGCAATATTCCAGCAACATCACGGCGGGGGACACCAGAAATGGGCTTCACACATTGTACCCATGTGGGGATTCGAACCCGGGTCTTCGGCGTGACGAGCCAACGCTTTAACCACTAGGCTACCCCACCGCCCCACTTTTCTTGAAGAAGCTGCGAAAGTGGTGTTCGACTCTCAAGCTTTGTTCTCTTAACTCTCTTTCGATTGGATCACCACCTCCATCAGCTATGCTCGGTGGTATAGCCAGAGGTAAGTCAAAACCATTTTGAGAATCAGCTTTCAATGGCAAGTGTGAGGAAGCACTGGTAGTCCTGAAGGCGGGAAGAGGAAAGGAGGTTTCAGGCACTGGGAAACACTACTCGAAAACTCCTCACTTCGAAGACAGTCTACAGTCTGCAGTACAACTTAGTGGCCAGACATATCCCAGGGAAGGTCAACATGCCTGCAGACGCGTTATCACTCCTGGACAAGATTTTGACAACAGAGTGGATGCTTCATCCAGGTGCCTTCAGGCAGATAGTGACCGAGTAGGAACAACCACACATAGATCTCTCAACCACCTGTTGCCGACCCGTATAAGACTGGGTTCAGATCCTCACACTTATGTAGTGGATGCCTCATCAACATTTTGGGAGGGAATGAGTGCCTATGTGTTTCCAAAAATGGCTCTTGTCCCTCAAGTCCTATCCAAGACCAGGAACCATCATGACACTACCTGGTCACCATGATCATGGTTTCCAGACCTACTGTCTCTACTGATAGATCTACCATTATGTCTTACTCATTGGCCAACACTTAGAAAATCACCAGTCAAACACATTCAATCGCAATTCACAACAGCTCGACCTACACTAATGGAAACTATCCAACGACATCTCTCGTCAGCGGGAGTTTCCTCAGCTATTACGCAATCACCAAGAGCTTTGACGCGTGTTCTCTCCCACTACAACTGAGAGCAATTCTTGCATTTGAGAATCGAGAACTGCCAGTGGATCCATAACCAACCCTTTAGACTGTGGAATTTCTGACACGCCTTAGAACGACTTGCATTTTCAGCTTGAAACTATATGTATGTATCACAGCACATATTCTTACCAGCCTGTTATGCTCGTTTGAACTGGAGGATATACCAAATTGGCGAATATCTACGAAATAGGATTTGTCAGTGGTTCGAACCCATGGACAAAGCAAAATTATTCAATCTTGCTTGAAAGAGTGAATTCCTTATGGCTCTGTCTACAACCTCAAGGATGTCAGAACTACATGCACTGGATGTCAGATGTATCACAATGAAGAATCCCCCCTGACCTCGACTAAAACTAAAATTCATGACCTTATCTGCAGTACCATTAACTGGAAGTGATGTCAAATGTTCAGATAATGGATTTGGTTGGTTTGTTTAACGCTGCCATCAGCAATATTCCAGTTATAGGGCAGTTCAGATAGTGGAAGCGTTATCACTTCCAAGCTTTAGGCCATACTCGAGCAGTAAGAGACATTACCGAGTGTTGTCACAACTAAATGCAGGTCTATTTCTCTATACTGATGTCCAAAAGAAAGTTTACAACGTTTGCAAACTCCCTGATATTCTTGAATACAGTTTGGCCTTAGCCGTTCCCCTTCTCGCCTGTACACTCGTGCTCTACCTTCAGCATACATCAGGGAGAACCTGCTTTCATCCCAAAAGAATACTCGCTGCCAGTTTTGTACTTGCCAACGTTGAACACTTTGTACCCACGTCAGTCTGTCACGTCGATGTTGCGGCCTCAGAACAATTCCACGGTAGGGTCGATAGGCTTAGACAGGCCTGTAGATTTCTGTACACTGTCTGCCTGCTGATGCGATGTCCCAGTGCCGTCGCTGCCGTAGATGGTGCAGTCGCGGAGATGAATAATGTGGTTTCGATGGGCGTGGTCACTCGGTGTCGGCCGCTGCGAGGGCTGGCTGACGTCGTACCTGTCTGTCTAAAACGTGCCATTAGTTGTAGACTGTTACACGGCTGCAATGGAAGTTTGTAGCAATGGCAGCGTAACTTGCTCGTTGATGGGCAATTTCTATGGCTCGCACCCCGGAATCCCAGAGTACTTTTCACACAGAGTATCCATGGGAAAATGTATGTAGTCAGGGGAGACAACACCTTCGGAAAATTCTTCGGATGACCACCAGGGAGTAAGACAGCACAACATACGGATGTTTTAATTTTTTTTTATTCAAGCAAAACTATCAGAAACACGTTTAAGGAAAATTGGCAATCAAGTGCTAAAGGTAGAATTCTAAGAATTATTATCATTGTTGATAATACCTCGGTCTTCTCAGCTTTCAGTCTTGGCTCGTCACGCCAAAGACCCGGGTTCGAATCATAAATATTGAGATTTATGCTTACCATGACTCCTTTGCAATGAAACAAGTTACAATCATTAACCAAAGCTTTGCACAAATACGGGCTGTACACATAACATTTCTTTAACCCTATCTATCATCCTCAGACAGTGTGTTTTCTATTGACTCCTAGTTTCAACTGACAGACAGGAGAATTGCATCCAAAACCTTGACCTTATTTCTTACTGAAATCTCAAGTCTTGCTGAAACTGTAAATTAGTTAAGTAAGTTAGTGAAAGAAAATACTATTGCAGCCTTTAGGCAAAACATCCAGTCTGATAAAATAATTTGTCTGCAACCTCGATTTGGGCTAAGTTCTGATGTGTGAAGTAAGTAGATTCATGGTAAACCCCCAAATTAACTATTTTTATGTTTCACTTGTTGCACATGACATTGTTCTCTCTCTCTCTCTCTTTCTTACTATATTAGTTGGAACGACTATATTTTTACACAGGGCAAAACTTCTCACAATAAATTCTAGGCATATTAAATGTTGCATGCATTATGATCAACAAAAATTACATCATGTTATCACCAAATGTCTGCTTATAATCTCTATGAGTGAGTGAGTATATTTTAGCAATATCACGGCCTAGAAATCGGCTTCATACATTGTACCCATGTGGTAAATCAAACCCCGGTCTTAGGCGTGACGAGCAAACACTTTAACCACAAGGCTACATCGCCGCCCATAATCTCTATGAAGGTGTCAGTATCTTTATGACACCATACTACAGATTAAAGCCTTATATTCAAGATATTAGTGAGTTAAGAGTTTTAGTCACATCGGCAGTACAAGATATAGAATTAAAATAGATTCAAGCGTTATTCAATTCAAAAGTCTTCTGCATGTCTTTCTCTGGTTGGCATCATGGCAGATACACAGACAATGACACTTGCCCCTTTGAAGATTTGTTAGGCAGCTAAAAACATCTAATATTGCTTTTCGCGGGTCCGTTAAAAACAGGTATTTACCGAATTCACCAGTCCATAATTCTTTTATAATGTAATTACCGAAAAAAGCTTCTAAAAACCAAAACATGTCTATTAGGCAAGAAAGGTAATTTTAATGAAGCGTAACGGGGATGCCGTCAAATAAAGCAATCTGATTGGTTGAATCATAGGGAAGTCCTTTTCATGGGCTCTCAAAATGTATTTTTAGTAACTCAAGTCAGTATGACTTTTGGTTGGACCTGGGTTGGAGTCTATATGCTTTTCGTTCGACAGTCACGTGACCGCCTCTAGACCAATCAAGTAGCCGGGAAAATATGCTTACATAATAAATGTTAGTATTCTTAATGACACATCACAAATATCTAATCTAATCTTAGATAACAAAATTCATTCCTAATTCCTAATCATTGTTACCTATCATCTGTCAGAGGGCCAGCATTCGTTGGTTTCACATTAATTTTTCGACTCGCTGTGCGCATGCGCGGAGCGTGTAAAAATATCAACTGGCCAACTTCCGGTCTGGTTGTATGCTTTACCGAGTGTAAATACACTCTAAAGAAAACAATAATTAAAACAAATATATAGTAGTTTTAAGTCGAATGCAACAAATCCCATTTGATTTATGAAACAAAGGCCGGCATTAGTTATATAAATAGCTTAATTTAAGCTCTTGTATATAGACATCTCACTACCACCGTCCTTCCCGCACATCCCCTTCTCACAACTTAAAAAACCCACATCTCTGATGGAATTGCAACCAAAATGTGACATCAATTATTGTAAAGCATAGGCAAATGGAAGTATGTAGACAGCTATGAACAGTTGTGACAACAATAATTTTCATAGCAGCTTTTATTTAGAGTGTATTTACATCATCGGTAAACATAGACCAAACCGGAAGTTGACCAGTGGATATTTTTCCACACGCTCTGCGCATGAGCACAGCGAGTTGAAAGGTAATGGGAAACCAACAAATGTTTGTTGCCATACAAAAACTCTTCACTCCTGAAAACCTTCAACAGTATCTCCTGTGTCTGTCAGCATCAAGACCATTTTCAAGCTGCTTGGGGCGATCTTACAATAGCCACCATCAAAACTCTCACAGTATTATCAATAAGAACAGTCACATGGCAATCTCTCTGTGGGTCCTGATGTACATATCTCAACAATACCTTCAGGAAGCCTTGCGGAACTCAAATTAACATGAAATTAACAGAAAGCGTTTCAACTACATCTACTGCCAGATCGATATTTATCCCAGGGTCGGGTGCAATTGACTGCAAATGTTAACACATTGGAATTAATAATTTTCTATTTCATGTTTTCAGTTGGATTCCACTGACAACAGAAGCAAATGAGAACTAAACAAAAGTCAAATTTGAATGGAATAACAATTTGTTCAAAATCTGCTTGTCGAAGTCACTCAGTTTGAAATCCTAAATTGATTCCTGTGCAAACTTGTCATAAAGGCAAGGCATATGTACATCTTTAGATCTTTCTTCAAGAGCTCATTAACTGATGTCTACAATTAACTTGGAAGTTCGTTGCCTATTGGTTGTATCTTCAGCAATCCAGAATATTTGTAAAGGTCATCTTGACCATGTTAACATAATAAGCACATTACCTGCAATGATAAATTGTTCAAAAGAAAATTTGAATATCTAGATAATAATGTTCAGATTAAGAAGGTCTTAACTAATGAGAAGCGATTGCAAATTTTAAATTTTTGCTTCTCTTTGGATATTCGGGCACAGAATTAGTTAAGACAACTTCAATAACAATGGTTATGTTTTTTTCTCTACTTCCCAATATATCTGTACTCATTTTTATCATCACCCTTAATTCCTTTTGTCTTCTCCATATAATGCGGATTTTGTATGCGGTGCCCTGCGCTACTTGGGTTGTTAAGACTTATTATATGTGTCTCTGTTCGTAGTGTTATGTTTGTTGGACCGTAACTCGGAAGAGTATTATGTATTCTTTCATGAAGCTGTGCACAAACAAAAATCAACTGCTAGCAGTATGGTGCCAGCGGATTTCCGAGGTGACGTAATATTCCATCACCTTTCCTCTCTCAAACAACACCAAACAAACGCATACCCGGTAATGTTTGTCACTTTTGGACGAATTTCATGTCAGACAAAACGTGGCACTCGTCGTTAGAGATGTCGTATTAGTCATATAAGAGGTCTGACATGTGCTAGCACGGTAAAATATCCTATAGTCTAAGTGAAAACCACGGCATACGATATTCCAGAATTCTTGAGAGAATATAATTCTGAACATTTGATTATGGGACATATCCGTAAAAGAATAGAACGAATCCTTTGCGGGGCTATCAAACAAAACTCCTTTACATTTCCAACCTTTTGGATTGACCGAAATTACAGTTAAAGTAAATGGTCAGGAGGTAGATATGAGTTGTGGAATTTCGAACCCGACTCGACCCGGATGTATAAGACATACCTGGAGCTATTTAGAAATACGGGTGTCTAGGGAGAAATTCCACAGACACCATGACTCTGGACATTTTAGACGGTACCACCCTATTTGTCTTCGATTTAACGTACAATTTGGGTGCTGACATGTCACACGTGTAACAAAAAAACTCTGGTCAGGTCGACATGGAGATGAAATTTGCGCAGCCAACGCCCGGAGCTCAGACACTAGTCTGTTAGAGAGAGCTGGACAGTATTCTAGTGAGTGAGTTAAGATGTTAAGTCACATCGGCAATATTTCAGCCACATCGTGACTAAAATCAGTTCTAAATTCATGATAAATACATATAATCTCTAAAACCCTGTCAAGGGGACCATGGAGACTTACTATACTTTTGCTACCTGCATTGGCGGACAGTATCATAGAATTTGACCACTTTAGAAATGCTACTATACACTGATGCAGATCATGGACACACGTTACCTCTCGTACTAAAATGCTGTAGGGGCGAGATTTGCGGTTGTTGACCCTTTTATTAAAAACATCTATCGCAGTATCAGTAGCAGGGATACTTTGGAAGAGATATGTACTAAAATAGCTTTACGCTTGGTGGGGTGAAAGGATTAAAATATCCTCTTCTGTTTATTTGTTACACGGACAAGGAGCAGCCAGGCAGTCACTGGTTTGCCTTAAGTACAGAGGCACCCGGTAAATTGCATATACACGACTCATACAATATAGATTTTTACACGCAAATTTGGCCTGACTTTCACGATTTTGTGTCCAAATAGGACGTTTGCAATATTCCTACAATATAGTCTAATACAAAGTCTATTGTCGGTAACTTTCAGACACCAGTGTCTATATTTCGGTAGTTAACGATCTCCCTGCATTCCTAACGACAAAATAGTGAAACATTACAGTAAAAAGAATATGCTTAAAAATGATTCCGTGGTTTTCAGATGGTATGATAATACATTGAAACCCTTACTCGAAAAATTCTGAAAACTTTAGCGGAAAAGTGACCGACAGAGATTCCGTTTACTAGAACGGTACATGCTTATATTGCTTCGTGGATTAATTTTACTCTCTATTAATATTAGTGACACAATATACCTTTTCATATCTGGTAACATCTTACCAAACAGAGTAACAGTCAGCGCGTCCGAGCATGGTGGTGCATTGTTAGCCAGTTCTGTTTTGACACTCGATTACCTCATAAACAGGATTTAGAACGTTGAACTCTTACCGGTCAGCGCGGCCGAACAGGCTGTTGCATCATTAGCTGGTTTTGTTTTGAGGCCGAACATCGTGTTCGATCGTTAGCCTGGTCTGTTTTGAAACTTGATAAGTTCATATACAGGATTTGGAACGTTTAACGCTTACTGCCCAGCGTGTCCGAAGAGGGTGTTGCATCGTGTTCCTATTCCTAAAGGTAACGGTGCAGATCCTAGAGACCCACTATCTTACAGAGGAATTACACTGTCATCGGTTGTCTACAAGCTCTACTGCAACATACTAAACAACAGACTAACAACATGGGCGGAGAGAAATGACATATTCGTGGAGGAGCAGAACGGCTTCATGAAGGGCAGGAGTACGGTGGATCACCTCTCAATGTTAACGTCTGTCGTCGATACGAGGAAGAAAAAGAAGCTATCCACATTTGCAGCGTTCATAGACTTCAGGAAGGCCTATGGCTCGATTAACAGAGACATACTATGTAGACGACTAGCCGAGTTAGGAGCAATAGCGATATACACGGGTGTCTCCAGTTGTGAGAGTTAACGGGTTCAGGACGGACTGGTTTACAGTTAGCTGTGGTGTGAAGCAAGGCAGTTTATTATCTCCCCTTTTGTTCAATACATATATTAATGGCCTAGCTGTTGCTCTGAAAGGCTGAGAGAAAGGGGTGAAAGTTGGGAATTATATTATCTGTATTTTATTTATGCAGATGATCTGGTGCTATTGGCCGAGAATGAGAGAGATCTACAAGTAATGCTGGATTGTTTGAGCAGATGGTGCTCTAGAAACAGTATGGCAATAACCACAGGTTGTTCACTTCAGACAACCCTCCGTGACAAGGACTCGTACACATTTTACATGTGGTTATCTTTTACTGAATGTGATAGATAAGTATACATACCTTGTGTTACAGGAACATCTAGATTTTAATGTTACCACTAAGGCTGTTGCCCACTCTGCCAACAGGGTACTGGATCTTGTTACTGCCAAGTGCAAAGCCCTGGGAGGTATGCCACATAATGCTTTTAGAAAATTGTATGAATCTGTTGTTTTGGCAACAAAACTTAAGTGCTGTTTTACTTAAGTGCTCGATGTACGACGACCTGCGATCAGAATTGTTTACCAATGTTTGTACTATTTATGGTGACTTTTTTAACATTACCGAAGAGCAGAAATTTTGCTTTTAAATATCAAATTATGAAGTTGTTAGTAGTATTGCCAAAACCTTATTCCTTATTTTATATAGAAGACGACTGTTAGTTGTATAATAGTTAAATTACAATTGTGCACTAACGCAAACGTTTTTCTGTGATTTGTAGTTGCCTGTAGATATTTTAGATTTAGTCTATCATAATTCCATAAGGAATGGTGCATGTGCTTTTATTGATCCCTGGTTATGTTGTCTATGTTTTATGTTGTACATGCTGTTAGACGTAAATAAGGTATCTGTCTGCATCGTTAGCTGGTTCTGTTTGAGTCCGAACATCGTGTTGCATCGTTAGCCGGGTCTGTTTTCATACTTGATTAGAGTTTGGTCTAGTTTGGACAAAGACCCTTGGGTAATTGTTTGCTTACGTTTGTATACGGAGTTTACACGCGCCCGCGGCTTGACAAGAATAGAGAGGGGAATTAGTGCCATGCACTATTGCGCTGACGCCTCTCACGCCAGTTTATGCTTGAATTATCGAGTAGAAATTTTACTGTCACCTTTCCGACACCCTGTCCCCGCTCACCGTACCACCATCCAAATACCACTTGACCTGTCCTTAGGCCCCGTCCCTCTAAATATCACAGCCGGAGAGTGACGTCGATTGTAAGTGTCTCTCCCTCGATACGTTTCAACGATGCCCTGTTATGTTCCCGATGCCCTTTAACACAAGAGATGTGAAGTAAGGAGTAGACAGGTGGTTTGCAGTAATAATACAGACACTGGGGAAGTAGTGTCATTATCGGACTCTGGTTCTGCAAACGAAGACAGCGTGTCAGTAGACGTGTACGGCCGTTTTACGACTTTCACGAGTGACAATGTCGTAATGGATTCTATGCCGCACTGGAAGTTGACACCTAACGTTGATTACCGGCAAAGTAGGCGAGAGCCGATGACGTTGGACACCTGCGGGAACTCCTGGAGACCCTCGGGGGAACATAGGAAGCTGCTGCCCGATTTAGGCCAGAACTGGTGAGACGAAGCAATGATATACGGCTACGAGAAGATGGCTACGTGTAAAGCTTGGCCTGAACAGTTGATTGAGAAGGGTACACAGCTGGCCAGGAGAGGACAAGGCCGCGTGCTTGGTGTGGTTTGAGGTTATAAAACTGGTGTGCTGAAGATGAAATAGACTTTGAACGCAACAGGTTTAGACCCTCGTGCTCATTCCTGAAACATTAAGTGTCCCATTAGATTCGACGGTGACACAAGGATGTACACAACCGTCTGACAAATTATATTTGATTATTACATTTGGTAATGTGGTAGGAATGTATCGATGTTCAATAAAATAATGTGTTCAACGCGTATACACGTAATTGTGAATAACATGTTTGAAAATGTGTTTCCTCATACCTCTGTTGTGTTTTATAACATGGTGTCATTGTCTACCTCGAGGGGTATATATTGGGGGTGGATCAGACATTAGTTTGAAGAATATCGTCCTCGTGCAAGCTTGGGTGTGGGGGGAAGAGAACCTCTTTGTTGCTTAACAAACACCTCGCCAGCGGATTTCCGAGGTGATGTAATTTCACCTCGGAAATCTGGTGGCACCATACCACTCTGTTACCTTTTGGTATCAAAGCTGTTTAAATGTTTTAAACACCACCACCCCCACTCTCTGACTTTGATTGGGGTTATCTGAAATAAAAGTACACAGTTACGAATCAAAATTCCATGTTAATGTTTCGATAGCTTAATATCTACTCTTGTATTGTATCGGAGTTGTATTTGCAGCATGAGTTCACCCCGTGCTCAGTTGTACTGTCCAATGTTGAGAGAGTCACCCTGCTACACTAGGCTGGGTATCAGGATCTTCACTGTCAGGGTTCCGCTGGTTAGATTCCTACACTCTACTCCTTCAAGTAAGTTTCAACAAATGTCTTCAGTTCTCTATCCAACCAGTCAGCCTTCTTCCTGAGAATGAAAAAAAATATGTGAGAGCATGACACGAGAGACCATTTCACTGACAATCATATATGCCATGGCAGCAGGAGTAGCACTAGCACTTTTAGCCCTGGTCATTTTTTCTGAATGTGGTAATTGTCCTCAGAGCTAGCAGAATTTTAGGCTTTTCAGGGTTTGTACTCCTTACACATCATCATCTAGGAGAGCAAATGGTTAAATGGCCACTGATCTGGAGTGATTTGGCCTGTTTGGTTACTTGCAAGAATGGTGATGTCAGCCCAGTTATTAAGGTAATTGGGGCTTGATTTGATGTTGTCAGAGATGGCTGATTTGCTGTCGAAATAAGTAAGGAAAACTGATGTTCTTTTACTCCCTCAAGCCTATCCCCGATTCGCACAGAAATTGGCATGACTAATCTAGAAGAGAAAGCTCTACAAAGTGCACCCTTCAACAGTTCAAACCTACTTGCTGGTACCTGGAAGTGGATGATACTTTCGTCATTCTCCAACTTATCCATGATCCTTTTCAGTACCTCACTAATCTCAACACCCCGCATAAAATTCACCATGGAGACTCAGCAGAACGACCTACTATCTTTCCTTGACATCCTTGTGTCCCGAACCTCCTGCAACCAACTTCAGACCACCATGCACAGAAAACCTACCCATACGGATCAGTACATCCACTACAACTACAACCATCCTCCCAAAGTTAAGAACCGACATCATCTCTACATTGGCCACAAGAACGAAGAACATGTACTCAACAATCACTTATGAAATAAAAGTTGTCATCCATAAAATGAGTCTATTTTATTTCTCAACCTCTAAATTGCCACTCAAAGAGGTTTTTAAAACTAAACGTCCGTGAACTTAATCAGCCCAATTTGGCCATTGCTAGGAAAATTGACAAATTTCCTCAGGTAAATGCATGGTATATACAGTGTTCACGAATGGTGTTTCAAAGTAACAGGACATTGGGTCCTGTAAGTTTCAGATGTCTGTCTGACCCGTTGAAAATTCACAGGACCCATAGAATAAAATTAAACTCACATTTCAGATTTAACATCTCTTATAATTGGCATTAAAATTATTAACAAACATAAGATTTATAAACAGCAATAAACAGCATCAAGTGTCACATGTCACATATGACAACTTCAGTCAAAGTCATTGTGAAATATACAGTCAGACACTGAGGCCGGTGGGTTGTAGACTTCTATCGGACCGTTGGTGAATCTACCGGATTTGTCAGAGGGTCAGACGCTATTCGTGAACACTGTATATAGTGTAAATATGTACAACTCTTAACTTCTGTTCATATCCCCAAAGCACCGTTGATACCTTGCATGCAGTACAATCATACAGCTACTCCCTTGATGTAATGTTACCTGAGGGTGTCTGGGTGTTATCCCCTTCTCCCTAGGCAATCTGTCTATCCAGTTTTGTTCTCGGGATGATGTAGCTAAGATGGATATTCAAAGACAAGTCCAGTATGGTGTTCAAGTCCTTTTCATTGTTGGCAAGAATTCTCACACAAAGGTCCTCAGATATTGCTTAGTTTTCCTGGTCTACACACAACACTGATTCACAAATTTCCTGGAAGAACTTGTTGGATTCTTGTATGCTCTTGTTTGTATGAACTCTTAATGCTATGAGTTCATCTGAGCCATTCTCTCAATATACATAGAATACCTCTCAAGTCAACGGTGGGGCCCAGACGAACGCATGCATGCATGCATGTAAACATAGTTATAACTATTATTCACTTTTATATTATGTATCATCAAGTATTAGTGTCTCGTATGCCAGCAAGGCCTGGTGCTGTTTTTGTGTAACTACATATTATATCTATATATTGTGTACCTCAGCATGTTCCTTTATCTGGATAGTGATGGATATTTTTCACGAACAAGGTAACAGCCTGATATTATTGCTATAACTTTAGTCGGTTTTTATTTTAACATTTGTATTTTGCTTTTATTTATTTTTTGTTGCATTCAACAGAATCATTCCACTTAATTTAATTTGTCGCCATGAAGTTCTTCAATGTGCAACAGACAACTTGCACTAGGTCGCACTTAGGTCGCACTACGCGAATGTGATTCACTTAAAGGTCACATGCAACCAAAAAATCAAACATAATTAAAACACAATTATCACTTCTTCATGACATATAATATGCATAGCTGATTATGAAAAAACAAATAAACAAAATTATAAGCGTATAATCGCAAATCAAAAGTGCAATATTTTGTACTTGGGTTTACCTCCCTCGAAACGAAGCAGCCGGGATACCGAACCCAGTCAGAGCGGGTGGGTGTGCACTCAAGTGTAACGGCTGGTTCATTAGCAGATGCCGCCTTCAGGCCTCATATTGTGTGTGTATATAGAGATGTTGGGTTTTGTAAATACATGCTCATTTTTTGTGTATAACATTTTGCAATCAACAGACATCATAACATGTCATGTGTTCAAGTATCACACCTGCCTGTCTGTGTAATTACATAATGTGACAGAGACCGAACTCGGGCCATAAATCAATGCGTTTTGTTTATGGTGTATAGCCTGATTGGTGTTAAGTTCAAATTGCATGTGGTCAGTGATTGCAGTTGTGTATTGAATATTGTCATTAGCAGACAGGCAGGCAGACACATAGGTGCCAATAAAACAAGACATTGAGTTTTGTCTGTGACAACGACATATCTATATCACAGTTAGAAACTGTGTCAACGCTAAATAATGACATTGCTTTTAAGTATCGAACTGAGAAAGCGTCTCGGTAAGAAGAACGTGTGGTGAAATAGACAAATGAAATTATATAAACAGTTAATTTACTGTAATAACATATAAAAAGCTCGCGCCTGTGACATATCAACAAAACATTAGAAAAATAGCTCACACCAAGGCCTTCACCGAGTATTCACCCGACAACCCGCTTCCAAGCTGCGCGAACCTATTTACTTGCGCACGTGCTATGGGCGCAGCCCAGCTGTTGAAACCCGTTTCCCCAGAAATCTCTGGGGAAAATTAGTGAAACGTTTGAACTCCGATTTCGCGCGTCTTTTTTCATCGCGTTATTTTTCAACTTTATAAGTTGAATTTGCATTTTTGACTATTTGTTTCGGTATGTCCATACCGAAAGGTATCAGAATCTGCAAAGTTGTGTTTTACGTTGCATGTGACCTTTAAGCAACATATGAAATGTCTAGATTCCTTTTGTCAATTCACCAAAAACGATCGTATACGTTTTCATGAAGTGTATAAAAATATTATAATAAAATAATTATGCCAGGACTATAAAGCAAAATTATGTGGAAGTTCAAAATGTTTTGATTTGTTATTATAATAGTCCAGACGGAAATATTAATGTGTAAAAAGTTGACTATATTTTTCAATTAATTCCAAGACGAAACTGTATTTCGTCTTTGTTGATCAATCCAAAGATACTTCTTGTACGACCAATTGCACTTGAGGTTGGAGCAGCAAAGATCGCAACCCAGTTAACAATTCAGTGATACGGGTAGTCGCGTGAAAAATAAAAAAGCATCAACCAGTTCCAGGGAATTGCTGTAGATCAGTACCCCTTTACCGTCAATCTGTAGGGGCGTAGCACAATTGGAGGAATGGAATATAACAATTACTGCCTCAAAATCAATACATTCTTCAGATTGTAACTCACTACAGATGTCCTTCTGCTGTGGGATTTTCACTAGACATACCTCAGAGACTTCCACCTACTAGAGACATCATTCAGCTGTAAGATAGTCTATTCTATTCTATCCAATATTGCAACAGCTAAGGCTTTGCCATCCTTCAATGTCAACACTAACCTCAGAGATTTTGACTTGTCAGAGATCTTCTCCAGCTGTGATATGGTGACATTCAGCTCGTCGAGGTCCTTCTGCAGCTGGTCCTTGGTTCTCTCTACCTGTTGACACAGTTGGTCAAAGGTAGACGACAGCACCCTGCAACACACAAGCACCATCATAACGAATGTCCCAGAAAGCCAACTATGTATCAACCTATGTGGCTGTTTACATGCCAAACAGCAAGATAGAGTGGTAGTTCAAGGGTTGTCATATTCCTACTAATACCATAATGTTGATGATATTATTTGGAATCAAATGACAAAACTATTCCAGTCAAATGGAAGAGTTCAGAAAATACTCATGCCACAGTCATCTATTCAGTACCTTCCAGTTCCTTGTATAGTGACATGTTGAGTGAGTGAGTGAGTGAGCCATATAGCGATGAAAACAAGGTTATCATTTTAAAATATCTGTCGACAAAGGACAGTAAAACTAACTAGACTATCACAGACAGATATATTTAAAACTAGTAATTAAATCTAAAATACTTAACTATAGAGGACGATACGATATAATAACAGCCTAAAGATCACCAACAACCGAAGGCAGATCACCATACCAGGGACCATGGGGACTTACAGTCCCTTTGCTACCTGCATGGACTGACATGTTGAGACTAGGACAACGTATTTAAGATGAACAATGAGTGGAGATATAGATTACTTACTAAGGAGGTGCAATGTGTTGATAGTACTCTTACGAAGTTACAAACTATAATAGCTGAACAGGAACAATGGGTTGTGAAAACAAATGATACTCATTAATGAGGGACAGTTGGTAGTGAAGGCAAAGAAGCTACTCACGGCTGAACCTTTTTTCTATAGTCAGATTTGATGTGGTTCAGTTGCCTCAAGCCATAATTCTCATACTGCTGCTTGAAAGCCTTCATTTTTGCCTCGTTCGTCCAGGTCACCATTTTGCACACCTGTTCCGCTACTGGTACTGCTACACCTCCAACGATCAAACAAGCCTTCAACAGACAATAATCGTACAAATGTACGAAAAAAAACCAGTACAAAAACTCAATAAGCCTGTGCCATTCTGAAGGTATTAGGATCATTATAAGAATATTTCGTTTTTAATTTAAATCAGAGCATAAATATATATGCTCACTATCATTTCAGCCAAGTTTATCATGTTGATGAAAGAGTGAGGAAGTGGAAATCCCTAAAGCAATCTCAAGACACATCTGTGGAGGGACAATAGCAGACATCTGTTCCTCAGTCCTTTAACCATTAGGTGAAAGGAGAAAGTATATGAGTGAGGAAAGTATACCCCAGTCTACTACATCTTATATTATCTCACTAGAACCAAGGACTCACAGTTCCCACTGCGGCAACTCCAAACCTCCGCAATGCCTGAAATGACAAGGACATAAATGTGGTTCCCACGATCGGCGTGCTTCATTGGAACTGGTTGCCTGACCCAACTATGGTCAGAGATGTAATACAATGGTTGAAATGGACAGACTCAAAATCTTCTTTTGTGTTTTAACAAATGTTTCAACATTCTCCAAATGTCTGAAATAAATTAACTACCAATAAGTTGACCTAGCTAAATGGGAGTCATGACTTTGGTATAAACTGTTACAAAGAAAGAGAGGCACTAAGTTATGCCGAACTTCTACATTTTAACTTTCATGAATGACGCTTCATACAATGGAATATAAGGTTCTAAGATGTGGTGAGCGAGTGAGTATGGATTTGGGCTAGTTATTGTACTTATAGAATTTTGATCTTGACTTTGTTTGGATATTAGCCACTTAGGTTTCAACACCCTACAATGTCAACAGCTGTCAAATCATTAACTCTCTATGAAGCTGGAAAATACACGTACGTTGCAGTTATTTCAGTGACAACTTACCATGCCTGCGGCGCTTGCAGCACTCCCTGATACTCCATTTTGAAGCCACGTAGGGAGGCTGGAGGAAAACTTGAACTCTAAGTTCTCTTCAAAGTTCCGACAGTCAAGGTTAACATCTGTTTCCGGAATTGCTCTCATCCTGTATGGTATAATGGATGACAGTCTGTCTAAAAGTCAACAGAGAGAAAGCAAGTTTATGATGATGGAGTGATGATTCATTGAAATATTTGTTTGATTCTTTGTCAGTTTCCACTGTATAGGCTATTGCTGTCTTCTTTTGCAGCTAACATCACTTGAAGGTTTTAGACTATTTGAGTCAGAACAAATATCATAAAACATAAAATGACTGTCACAAACAAGGGTGATTCTGGTTGTTTGAACTATGACACATTAAATGAAAAAACTGTTCCATGTTACTGAACAACATGAGCCAAAGGATACACTCGATATTTTCATTTTACTTCCAACACGCAAACATGTAATAGTCATTGCATAACATCTTCAAATGATCAATGATACTCCTGAATTCTTGTAATTGGATTTGATGTTATACTGAGTAAGACACTGCTGGCAACTTTTCCTTGTATGTTGTGTTTACAGGCAATGGGATTAACTCCATTCCAACAGTCATATCACATCATATTAGCTTGCTGTGGTAAAACGAAGACGTTTACCCCAAGGAACCCAGGAGCATGCGTAACCTTTAAGTAGGAGTACAATGTGGGTTCTGCATCACATGCGGCTTAGAGGCTTATTTATGGGACTAAAGCCCCCCAGCCCCCCCTTTAAAAAAGGTGAGGGTGTAGCGCAAGCCATCCTTCGATGTGCCTTCAGGTTAGACCGAGCTTAACAATGGGGTTTAGATTCGATTTAAATGTAGCCGTAATATTCGGTGACTACTTTATGGAGTGGGTCTGCCATGAACTCATTGAAGTGGATTAAGGAGTACGGGACATCGCATTCTCGGGTCTCGAAAGTATAATCGATTAACGTATCGATGAGGCGTTGTAACCGTTCGGTACCCACGAGACCTAAACTATCATACAGGCTGGTGAATTTCCCTCGACTGATCACTTGACGCAGGGCAGCGAAAATATCAAGGCCCTGGACGTCCACCCCGACGCGTCTGAACAACGGTTTCTCGATCAATCTCCACATGTAGGAGAAACATAAAACGAATCTTTAATAAGGGGGCAATACCGTGTCGTGAGGGACGATTTGTAATTCCTATCAGACGAATCCCGTACCTGGCCCGTCTTGCAAGTGATACAGATTCGGTTCGTTGTCCACTCGGTCGATGTGGTTTGTTTTCATTGACCATACGGGGTCTGTGGCACGACGTTTGTCCCCGGCTTCGAGTTCACCGGGCTGGTACAGATACGTCACGACGACTCGATCCGGTAGTTTCTTTTCTTTCCCATGATGTGATGGTGCAGCCGAGTCGGTCGTCACGGATTTCATTCGAATGGCTTCGATGGGTCTTTTATCGAGGAGTCAAGTGACTTCATTGTTGATCGCCGACACCTCTTGCGGTAAGCGTACGACCCATTCCATCGATCGTTTTTCTGGGCTGACCATCTCTCGGGAATACTGATGTCTGAACAAACGGTCGGCTAAAGTCCTGTTGAATCTTTCGACGATGGCTTGGCTTCGGTGAGTTCCGGCCATGCCCCGTCTCACCTGGACTTTATGCTTCCATAACAGCCATGAACTCGCGTCCGTGAACGACTTCTAATTCGCTCGGCCAGGTCAAGTGACTGCATTTGTTGATACGTTCCAAGGCCTTAGCGACATTCGAATCTTTGGTCGTTAACTGTTCCGCTTCCTTGTAGCGGCTTGCAACATCCACGATGGTCAGGGTGTACTTGTACATTTTGTTTCTCACCCTGTCCTGCGGGAGAAACAGGAGGTCGGCTTGATGGGTACAATTGGGTATGGAAATGTCAAACTTTCTTCTCGGGATGTATCAGGGAGCCGGCAGGTATAGTTGCCAGATGGCTTGCCTTTTAAGCCAAGCTTTGGCGGTATCCTCGGAGATGCGAGAGGCTTTGGCTAGCTTCGGGATGGCGCCCACACCTTTCCAGTAACCCCGGGGACTGTAGTAAACCTTCTCCATGATGTATACACGCTATTATCCATTCAATAGTCTGTCTAGAGTGGAGTTTTTTTATTTGGGGTCTCAGAAACACCCAACTCGTCGAGGTCTAGACAGACTGTTGGTATCCATAGCCATAAGTGTGGATACCATCGTTCGCAATCCACCGTTTGGTATCCAGTGGCGACAGCAATATCTTGTTGAGAGTGATGCCGTAGATGGTGTGTTTGTCGCTTCTCAACGCGTTCAGTTGGGGTCTTTGAACGTGCGTTTTTCGAACAGAGCCTGTTTGAAGAGATGTGTCTGATGAGTTATTTCACCACGTATTTCTTGACCCCTTTTGCCTATCGGATCTCGCCGTTGTCGGCTTTCAGGATGGAATACATCTTGGGTCTCAATCCGACGTATTCTGTGATAGGTGTTCCCGTGCATTCGTCCTTCATCTTGCCGAGGACCTTTGTATTGGTCGTGCTGTGTAGGCCGTGGTCTGAGGGGTAATCGCTGGTGTCGTACAGGTGGCTGTGTTTTGCCATGTCCTCGTACACGTCCTCGGTACGTTTATTCAACAACAAGGAATCCGTGTCTGTGTAGAGCAGCTCGCATCGATCGCCATATTGCTTCTTGAGTCGGTTGTAGTAGAAATCATACATGAGATGTTTGGAGAGGTCGAGAATGCTCATCCCAACGTAGACGGGCCGGTTGAGCTTGATGTGGCTTTTGTTCATGTGCAGCGCTGCCAAGTCGTTGTCTAATAGCTTGCCTTGGTTGAATGCCGGGCTGGCAATGAGTTTCCAGAATTTGTCTTTCTCGTGAGATCGCACGAGTTTGACCGTCACCTGTTTTCTCAAGTTTTCCATGGTTGCCGAAAACCTAGTTGTTCATCAGTTTGTAGAGGTTTTTCTCGAAGTTGCTGGTGGCCTGTTTTCGCAGCACAGTGTTCAATTGAATGTAATGTTCCATCCAGGGACTTTGATCGAATTGTAGCACTCGGTGTACTTTTGTCAGCTTCATGCCAAGTGACAGGTACAGTTGCAGATTCCGTACTTGGTCTTGTGCATCAAGTTTGGAATGAGTTTTTCCACTTTGGCCAGCTTATTTTTCCCAAGCAACGTTAGCTGATAGTCCGACAACCAGTCTCAGTGCAGCATCAACCATTCGGAGCCAGAGGATAGCTGCAATGCCGTGGGATACTCCAGATCCACTTCGAGGATGTAGCCTTTGTTCGAATCCGGTGCGATGCTCGTGATATCGATCTCATCGTCCAACCACTCGTGCAGGTTGTAGGCAGAGACTGGCTATCGTGCAGGTTGTGGGCGTCGAGATACAGGAGATGGTTGGTGGGCTTGCTCGAGTTGTAGCCTTCCACATATTTGTTGTTGGCTTTCGCCTACCGTTTGGAGACCATGGAAATCCCACCGTGCATGCCTTTTTCCATGAACAGGTGCATGTCGTAATCCGTGAGCAATTCAAGTTTGATTACGGTTTTCTTCAAGAGCGCATCCCAAGAGAGACCGGGGCTGGTGTAGTACCAGGTGGGGTCGAGTTGATACTGTTTCAAACACGTCGTTCTAACGTCTCGAACACGTCAGCCAGCAGGAGCATGGCCGTTTTCAAGTACAGGTTGTGGTAGTCGCCCAGATTCTCGCAACCCAGGTATCGTTGGCCTTGACTAAACTATCGAGCGATGACAGGAGGAACTGACCATTATCGATAAATCTCAGACCGTTGAGCGAGAACGAAATGTATTTCTCCATGTTGTTGGGAATCCACTTGATATTGCCATCGATGCTCGAGATGGCCTGCATGATCAAGTGAGCATCGTACCCTCTCAAATTGTGGAAGACCACGGGGATGTTGATTTTGTGTGGATCGATTCGAGTTTTAAGTTGCACGCGTCGTGAGCAGCACCTCAGTAGCTGCCGGTGATGTGACAATGATCTCTCATGACATCCCCGTTCAGGGGTTGGTTGCACACGTGGCAATACTTAGAATGCTTGTGAGCGAGTTCATCCTCCGGCGTCATATTCATGGGAGCAGGATCCGACAACGCTTCCCTGATGTTTTTCTCTTCACTTTGTAAGAACGTGAGAAACGTTTCGGCTGCGTCGGGACCTCGGTTGATCACTGGAGTCTCCATTTCACCATTGCATCGAACGACAACGTAACCGAACCCGCAGGCTTGGTGTTCTTGTGTTTTGTATGTAAAACTTTTTGCCGGGTAATGGCGCGATGTGGTCGACCCGTTTGATGAGCGCTTCGAAGTCGGCGTAAATGACGTAAGGCACGGGCATTTGATGTTTGTGGTTGATGAATTTTAAGATGTTTCCATGTTCTCGAGGCATGTCGATTCGGATCGCCATCACGGCAATCCTCCCGGTGCGCTTGCAGTAGGTCCGCTCGCGTGAAGCCGTGCAGACATCGTTCGCAGAAATGTTTCTTTTCTCTGTGCGTCGATCGGTGTACGATGGTCGTATTGCCTTCATGGCCAAAGATGTTGATGGCTAAATGGTTTAGTTTTTCAAATCAGGCTCAGTAGGAAATGGGTGTGGGTTTAACTAAGCCATCCCAGTTAAGCCCATTGTCTTCGGGGTAGCTCGAAGGTCTGTTCTTATCAATAGTTACTGGAAATAAGCCAGCTCTCACCAAATATACTGCACAAGCATCGTCTTTATTGTTTAATGTTAGTAATGGCTTTTTTATTTCTGTAGTAAGGTGGCAAGTGTAGGTACGATCTGCCTTTGAACGGTACGTAGTTCGCTACGTCCAAATAGATGGTGTTGACACTTCCCACCACCCACCCGGAGCCCCTGTGCGTCCATCGTTCCATGGATTCTTGTATTTATTGTAGCGAGGTATTGAGGGTCGAAGGGATCGAGTCAGATTGAAGTACGACTTCCTGCTTGCCTCTGAAATATGGCTTGATGGACTCGGTATTGCCATCCATCTGCTTTTTGTAGAGCGACATGTGGATGGTCAACTGGTATTTAATACGTTTTAAATCATCCAACTCTTCTTCGACTTTGTCGGCAATCAGGGGTTTGGAGCTGTTGCCGTCGATGTTAGACTAGACTA